TGTTGTTTGCGGGTGAAATGCGTTGATTATATAGTAACAAATGTGGACTCTGAGGTTTAATTTTGTGGTTGAATATAACAAACTTAGATTTGTTTGGATTTGGTTTTAATCTCCATTTGTTCAACCAATTTTCAGTTTGGTTTATTATGTTTTGCAGGTTCTCCACAGACTTTTTCAGAGTTTTCTCATGAGTTATTAGGGCTGTATCATCGGCGTATTGCAGTATATACTGCGTGGGGGTGGTTTGTCGGAAAATATCAGAGCAATATAGGTTATATAGCAATGGGGAAATGGGGGATCCTTGTGGAACTCCTTGAAAATTTAAAAAGTCAGGGGAATACACGTTGTTGATTTTGATTCTAAGTCTTCTGGTTTCCAGGAATTGCCTTACAATATTTATCAGATGTCTGGGGACATTAAGGAGATGTAGTTTGTAGAGAAGGCCTTTGTGCCACACGGAATCAAAAGCCTTGTTAATGTCTAAGAACAAGGCAGAAGAATGAAGTTTTCTTTTTTTTGCAGTTTGGACATTTGAAACCAATATGGAAACCGGATGTGATGTGGATAATTGGGCTTGAAAACCAAATTGAAAGTTCGGAATTGCATTTTTTGTAGTCTCTTCAAGGAGCAATCTGATGATTTTCTCGAATAATTTGGATAAACAAGGTAATAACGTTATTGGGCGGTAGTTGCCGACTTTGGTAGGGTCTGCTCTGCTTTTGTGAAGGACTACAATTTCACCTACTTTCCACTCGTCAGGGAAGTATCCATGGTTAAGGCAGTACTTAAATATATTTATAATGTATTCGTGTATTAACGGTGATAATTGTTTAAGGATAATCCAAGGGGTTTGATGGTGTCCTGGTGCTGAGTTCTTTTGGCTGGAGAGTAGCTCATAGTAGTTATTTTCGTCAATTGTAGATTCTGTAAACTGAGTTTGATCCATGAAAAAATTTTGGTACCAGTTGTCCACAAATTGTAGATGGTTTTCATCGAAGTTAGGGTTTGGTTGTGGGGAAAATGCTTTCTCAAAGTGAGTTGCGAAGACCTTAGCCTTGTCACTGTCAGAGTGATATGTTTGTCCATTATCTTCTATGTCAGATATCTTATGTTGTTTTTCGTATCTCGACAGTTTCCTAATTTGTGTGAAGAAATCTTTTGCTTTGGCATTGTTTATATCTTCACACGCTTTAGTCCACTTGTTGTTAACATACATAAAAATTAAATGTTTTATATTTTTTCCTAATTTGTTTATATTGGCTTTTGTGTTGGGATCTTGAACAGCTCTGTATTCCCTGTACATTCTACGTTTTAGTTTGAGAAGTCGGACGATAAACGGCGGTAACTCATTTACATAGCCTTTTACTTGTTTTTTAGGAGTGTTACTTAAAATACATTCCTTGAGTTTAGTGTTAAATTGGTTTATGATATTGGGACTTGGAACTGCATGATCATTGATGAAGTTTATCATTTCATGGTTTATGGATTCTACATTGCATTTGTTGAAAACTAATTTTTCCCTTGGCACTGGTTCTTCAAAATTGTCTGCTTTGAGGCTTAAAAGCATGGCCAGGTGGTCAGAGCCTAAGTCAGCAATTAGGTCTACTGTTACATATTGTGTGAGGTTCTGCGAATGAAGTATAATATCTGGAGTTGAGTCGTTATTGTTTTCCATTAAAAAAGTTGGAGGTGTGTGGAGTTGTTTAAAATTCGAATGGGTGGTAAAGTTTTTTAACTGTTTTTATTAAATTATATTTAGTACTTTAAAAGTTATTCAAGGAAAACCAATTTGCAGGGAAGTCCTTTCGGGGCCCATGTCTCCGTAAGGATGGCCAGTAGGAAAAAAATTTATAGGAAGGTGTCATCTTATTTTTTCATGTTCTATCTGAATCCGAGAGATTTCCCACATTTTCCCGGACACCCTGTATATAGTTAATTTAAATCCAAGAAAATATTAAATGTATTTAACCGCAAAAACTGTTGATTCAACATAATTTTTCTCTTACTGCACGAACGTGGCGCAAAAATGATTATCCAAACACCGTTGGCATAAAAAATCACGACATGATTTTCATTTCTCACGCAGTGACATCCGGATGATGATGTCCGTCTGAATAAAATTTGTGAAAATCACGACGTGACGTTCGTATGATTTTCATTTATTACGCGGTGAATTCCGTATGATATCAGTATGAATAAAATTTGTGAAAATCACGACGTGATGTTCGTATGAATATCACGAATGTTGTCCGGGTAGGTTTTAAATTCGCAGTTCCCAGGGCTCATACGCATGCGCAAATTTTGCAAATATCACACCGTGAGTTCTACATGATATCACTGTGATGAAGCATGTGTATGCACTCAGGATATCACAGCGTGATAAAAAAAATCACGTTGTGATATCATCATGACTTCACCAGGAAATCCCGATTGTTGTCCGGGAACTATACTATTAGAGTTACGTCCCTCTCTCGTTGCATATCTCGCGCGCTGGTCCGCTATCAAAACTCGCTTTTCATCCGACTTTCACAGGGCACCCTCAATGTCTCAAAGTCTTTAATTGTCCCTCGTTGAAATGCAGGCAGGCAGATATGTAAGCTGCAATTTCGACTGGCAGTATACCCCCTGGAAGTTGTTTAGGGCTGATTTTCCAGATGAGCTGATTATAACTCTCATTGTTATTACGAGGGAATCCGTCTAAACATTTCAAGCAATTCTTCCTTTGATAGATCTGTGTAGATCAGCTTGATGGCTGTGAAAACATCTTCGGGCAGATGCTGGTAAGTGTGGACGAACCCAGGGACCTTATTTGTGCGTTGAGCTTTAGTGGTAATACGTGACCCAAATAGCCTTATTTATCTTTTCAGCAGAATCGGAATAACGACCTATCGCCAAACCGTAGTATACGGTCAACTTGTCTATCATTTTACCAGTCAACTTTCCTCTACCTCCCAGTCCTTTCTTTTCCTTTATTACGTTACGCAATCCAGCGCCCATTCTTTTTTGCACATGCCCAATGCACTTTTTTTGTACCACCAGCACTACGGCGCTACATTTTTTATTGCACTGTAAGTTTAAGAATCGCCGTCTCCAATCCCTGACGAAAATGAAATGTGCAAAAAGTGTGCAAAATTATTTGAGAACAATGTGCCAACAATGTGCAATCTTTTAAAAAAATTATGTGCGGAGGGTGGGAAATGGAACATAAAACAATGTGCAAAACCAAAAATTTAAAAGTGTGAATAATCACTGGACAATTTGATTTTTCACATTGTTTGCACACTGTTTCTTGCCACCTGTGTGCCTATTACAAAAACAGATTCTTTTTGGTGACCTATAGTCTTTTAAATTTACACATAATTGAAATATAAATATCCTTATAATAATATTAATTAAATAAATATTTTTTCAAAAAAAAATTTAAAAAAATACCCAGTTGGGTCTTGACTCTTGAAGTGTAAGGATGCTCAAAGATAGTTAAGCAGCGTACAACGATACAAACGTAGTAAAGTATCAAAGCGAATCTTCGTACAATCACCAGATACTGATAAATGTGTTTAATTCTTCCAGTGCTTACCTGGATTTCTTCACGCACAGCACGTATCGTGGAATAATCGATGACTTCATTTTACAGTCGTCAGGATGTGTGCAATCTTATAACAAGTATAAACCGTCTGTTTATTTCATACGCATGGTGGTCGATCATTGTGCTAGAGCAGATTCTCCGCTGTACACAGTTGTCACAAATAACTGCAGCTTTGAATCAAAGTCCTCGTGTTTCTATTGGTGTGAATTTCTTATTACTGCCACAATTTTTGCACTTGACATGCCGAGAGAGGGTCGTGAATACCAGTATATAATTAATATACCCGATACGGTCAACCGGCACATGAACACTTGATTTTTTTGGGACGAGCTGAAACTACTTTCGTCGGTCTCTGATGTCTTCGGATTAAAATATTTTATATATATATATATATATATATATATATATATATATATATATATATATATATTGCTTGGGTTTTTTGGAACACAAATTACCTTGTTGTTTATCTTAATATTTGAGGACCATAAAAGCCAAGGGGTATAGTACATTTTGTTTAGTTTTGAGATAATCATGTTAAAAAAAACATAATTTGGAGTCAAAATTGTTTGTTGTTTTATGACTTGGTTTTTCAACATGTCTAAGCTTAAAATTCAGTTATATCCCTTGAATAACAAGTAAAATGTACCCTTTACTATCTTTTTCTGTACAAAACTACATTTTTTTTTAAATGTCACTTGTATCCCTTGGCTTCTAGGGTCTAGGGTACACATAATTACGAAAATAATATTGTATGAGGATCGAGGCGAAAAGTTCGCCTTTAAATGTTTGTGAGGTAGCGCGCTATAAATTGCTATAACATAAGTTCTAGTGCTCCGATCTTGATGAAATTTTGTCCCAGGATTTGATGTCAGATTATTTTATTTTGGAGGTTTACACACACAAAAAGTCATCTTGTTGCACTAATATTTACCATTTTCCCTTAAAATCGATTTGAAAATTACCTTACATGGCATAAAAATTTATAATGAAATCACGATTCAGCTTGGGCCATGGAACATGGCTGCCATGTTTAGGAAAAATTATTCAAGACAGCTGACATTTTATGCCATGAAACAGGAAGTTTCATCAATTCTCAAAATTTCATCTTTCTATCTTGAACGGTTTTGGAGATATTAAATAAATATAATCAGGTGCCCTTTCAGGGGCTGTAGCTCCTTTAGGAAGCATTTCTCGACCTATGTTTATACGAACTTTTTTCTATTTTTGTACGTAGAATCTGCTGTATTGCACGCTAATTATGGGACACCATGTATAACCCCTTAAGACATTTATAAATTTGCCATTCTTTTAGTATATCTCAATTTAATTTATTTGCAATTATCAATTGCAAGTACAATTATTTTTACCCTTTTAGATAGCAATTAAATTAAATTTAAATAAAACACGTGTATAAAACTAATGATATATTTACAATTAGAAATAATGAACATAGGTATACCTAAAGGTACATGGCAGTAAAGGAAATGGATAAAATTAGTTAATGACAAACCCTTTAGTAAAAGACTGCTATAAGAAGGCCTTTAGTTTCTTTTTAAAATAGAAAATTAAAAAAATGTCTTTTACATGCAAAAATTATAAACAAGGTGCCAATATATAAAGCTATTATTCGTTATTTACTGGCAGTCCTAAACAGTGACTTAATTTTTAACTCTATGGACGCACCTTGTAAATTTAAAATCATATTATTAAAAAAACCTTATGAGATCAGGATCGCAAACAAATTAGACTAGTGATCCGTTTAGTACAAATATTAAAAATAGGTTTTTACTTACTACCAAGAATTCACACAAAACATTTTTTGTGAAGCAAAATTATATGATTAATGCACAGTTAAAATTTGTTGGCCATGCATATTGCAATAAATAATTTAAAACTAACAAATTCTGGGTAAATTATTTTAAAGATATTATTTCCAAAATTGCAAAACTGGTAATATCAAATAAACCAATTTTAGACTGTTCCAGGCCTTCCTATAAAAACTACAAAAAATACAACATGATATAAAAGAATAAATAATATTCAGTCTCACAAATTATACATAGTACACATGCATACCTTAATTAATTAAAAATATGAAAATAATTCTTTTAATGAAGCACAAAAAGAAATGTTAAGATTTCATATTGCTAAAATAGTGGTTTATATTGCTTAAATTGTTTAAATTAAAACTTGAATATACCAAATGTTCTTTTATATTTACTGTGGCATTTAAAAACAATGGATTAAAATGGAAATATCAAATGGTTAATTGTTATTTTAATAATGAAATGAGTATTCTTGCCATTAATTTTATGCCAGCTGTACTGGTGCATACCTTGTAATTTTTAAAATTTTAATAATAAAAAATTAGAAGACACCAAGTTGATTCTAGAAAAAAAATATTTGCCATAAGAATTACATTGTTTAATGTAAAGAAATTGGAATATCTAATGTGGACAATCTCTTACTCTTGGCTGTCTTATTATCTGTATCACAATTTTTAGAGTACTACCGGGGCCCAAGCACCCCAACAAATAGATGATATAGTATGATATATATATACATATATATATCATTTATTCCATGTGGCGCTTGGATGAGACTTACACAAAAATCTATGGGTATTTTGCCTGATACCAACATCAGGTTGTACTGAAAAATATGCTAAATATTTTATTTAAATAATTCAAAGAAAATGTACAACATTCACTTTAAGGAGGAAGGCCACAATAATAGTTACAATAATAAAATGTTGAACTCAACCTAAAATTTTATCAACATCTTATCGTGATTAATATCGTGCCCGAACCTCCCTAAATACTTAATATATACAAATAAAAAATTATAAATATCATATACCAAGTGCACGTCTATATCTAAATGTTAAGAGAAAAAATATAATATAGCATTTTGTCCAACCACAGGCCTTGTTTGATTTAAGTATTGTACCATACTTTTATTTGATTTACTCATTATTCGCCAACAAAATAGTGTGTAAAAACAATAAAACATGCTTAGTTTATCAAATGTAGACGGACGGACCTAATATAGATTTTCTAGTTATAATTTCTGTGTTAAGCGTTAAAAAATACTTGTTAAATGTAGCTAACAACACTATGTATTAGTTAAGATGCCTTCCTAGTGTTTTAACACACTACTCTTTGGTTATCTTCATACCTCACTGTTGGTATCAAACAGTAACTTCTCCGCTAAATCTTCTTCTTCCTATATACTTTACAGGCAACTGTCGGGATGTTGGCTTTGCGATTTTCGCGACTTTCCCGTTTTCGTTTCGGTTTTCACTTGGTCAATGCTGAGCTTCCGAGGATTGCCGAGCGTGACGAGGGCGCTCGCGATCGCCAGCCCCGCCGACTGGCCGCGCGCCGTGTAAGCCTCCCCGCCCGTAGGCAACCGCACCAACAGACTAAGTACTGCCGCTCTGTTACCTACAAGAATAATAACGTTGAAAAATTGCCTTGAAAGTTATTCTTTCATGAAATCTTTACCCTATTGAGTCAATCCATATGAAAACGCCGAAACTCGTTGCTCGACCATCTTGGATTTTAATCAAATTTTATAGAAATATTCATTAGGGTCCCAAAAGACAAAATCCACCCTTATTTATTTTTTTGCATGTGTCCATTCCGGCCTAATCGAATTAAAACTTTTAAGATGTCATTTTAAAAAATAGTAGTTATTATAAAAAAAAATATAAATTCACTCAATCAATATTTCTAAATAGTTACACTGTGCTGAAAAAACAGACAATTTTTTTCATATATAAAGTTTACATACCAAAGACAAAATAAAACTTAAAATTGACCTTATGGCATACGGTTTCCAAACAAAAAAATTGCTTGAAATTTTAAAATTCTAGAAAATCTCATTATTTAGGCCATTATATAAGGATGTTGACTTTCAAATAGAATTATGAAATTTACAGGATAATTAGCCCCTACCTTAATGTTTAAATGCCTGGTAGTTTGGTTTTGTTATTTTCATATTTGAAGGTTATACAATAGCTTTAAAAGGAGAAAAATATTGAAATAATGAAAAGTCGCATTATTTCATCCATTATATAAGTATGTTGACTTTAATATAGAAATATGACATTAACAGCATAACTTTATATACGAAAAAAATTAGCTGTTAATATTAAACAGCCGAGACATGGGACGCATTTAAAAAACACGAAAAATTAGTAAAATGCACGTTTTTTTAGCACCGTGTAATTATTTAGAAATATTGATTGAGTGAATTTATATTTTTTTATAAAAACTACTATATTTTAGCTTTAAAATGACATCTTAAAATTTAAAATATCTTTAATAGAAAAAAATTACTGCTTAAATTATTAAAGCATAAAAATGACGTTTTTAAAAAGTGTTAATTCGATTAGGCCGGAGTTGACACATGCGAAAAATTAAATAAGGGTGGATTTTGTCCTTTGGGTATGGAACGCCGTTTTAGTTAATATTATTTGTTTTTAACATTTTTTAAATAAAAATCATTTTTATGATTCTTTACTTATATTGTTACATTTAATTGATTGTTTAAAAACCCTGCCCATATAGATTGAATGTTGAAAAAAATGTTTCTTTATATTTAATTTTTTATTTTAAATTTTAAATTTAAATAAGGAATTCAATTTATAATGTAACAAATTAATTTAACAATTATTTAAATTTAACCAACATAAAAATAGCCACCATTTAAATGAAATAATTAAAATTATAAACAAACAATTTAATTCAAACATAATAATGTAGCGAATTATTTTGACTGATGAATTAAAATGTTACATGATTTAAAATGACTGTTGATAAATTTAATTCTTTCATTTTAATTCAGGAATTAAAATTATCAACAAACATTTAAATTGGGCGCTGGAGATGGCGGGCAATGTGAATACTACTTAAAAAGTTTACTTGGCAACTTCGCATCTTTATTAAACCGCAGAAAAGTAACATGCAACGTTAAAACCATTGATTATTATACCCCTTTACTAAACGGTCACGTCTTTTCGCGATTTTCAAGATGCAGCATTGCCACGTGAACCTTTTAAGTAGTTCTCATATCGCCCGCTATCTGCAGCGCCCAATTAAAATGTTTGTTGATAATTTTAATTCCTGAATTAAAATGAAAGAATTAAAATTATCAACAGTCATTTTAAATCATGTAACATATTAAATCAACTAACAAAAAAATAACAAACATTTAAATTAAGAAATTAAAATTATTAACAAGCGTTTTAATTCCTGAATTGAAATGTTTGTTGTTTTTTTGCTTGTTGAATTATTATGTTACATGATTTAAAATGATTGTTGATAATTTAAATTCCTTACATTAAATTCAAAGCTTTTACGTGCCTGTTTAAAACTTAAAATAGAAATTTAAATATAATGAAACATTTTATTTAATTAATCAATTTAAATGGCACAGTTTTTAAAACAATCAATTTAAATGTAACAAAATACATAAGGAATCATAAAAAATATTTTTGGTTTAAATTATTAAAAAATTTATTTTTCAATTATAAATTAATTTAAATGATTGTCTATTTATTATGTTACAATTAATTGATTGTTTAAAAACCCTGTCCATTTAAATTGAATGATGAAAAAAATGTTTCTTTATATTTAAATTTTTCTTTTAAGTTTTTATATTTAAATAATGAATTAAATTTATCATGTAACAAATTAATTCAACAATCATTTTAATTCTACTAACATAAAAATAGACACCATTTAAATGAAAGAATTAAAATTATAAACAAACAATTTAATTCAAACATAATAATGGAGCGAATTATTTTGACTGATGAATTAAAATGATTGTTTATTTAAAATGTTTGTTGATATAAAATGTTACATGATAATTTTAAATGGAATTAATATAATAATAATAATAATAATAATAATAAAGGTCTTTATTCGTAAGTAATATCATAAGGGCATTTAATTTTTCCGAAAAGAATCGAAAAAACACGTTGCTAAGTAATATTTTAACAAAAAGCATGAGTGCTGGTGGCAACAAAAATCCGAGTCGAAGAGGAGGATTTTTGCACCTGCACGAATGCATTTTGGTAAAAAATATTACTTAGCATTGTGTTTTTTCGATTTTTTTCACAGGAAAAATTAGATGCCCGAATGGTATTTGACAAGACTATTTCATGAGTAACAGTTAACAATTAAAATATAAATTGCAATTTTTGTTGACAACAGCTGTCAAGTTTTGCCGCGGGTAAACTCGAATAAACTGCTGACAGGTGCTGTCACACAGTTTTTTCACCTAGAAACCATTTGTAATTCAAAATTGCGCGTTTATGATTGGTGGAAATTAAGACGAGGGAAATAGTCATAAATAACAATGGTATCTAAAAAAAAAACAAAAGTAGAGATAGAGATTGGCAGTAAGTATTATTATTTATGAAAAGGCGAGATTCAGCTTGTTTATTTGGACTTGGACTTGGTCCAGCACAATAAACAGCTGTTCTTCCATATGATTGTTCAATTAATACGATTGTTGCATTAAAATGTTACATGATAATTTTAATTGGGCGCTGAAGTTTTCGGACAGATTATGTATTAAATTTGGGTCTACGCGTCTAATGCCTATGGTTTTTGCAGCATATGCTGACAAAACAGGAATTAAAGAGACTTAGTGATTGACTTCGCCTTAGACTCATAAAATTGACTACACTCTCATATACCTATAACTTAGTTATATACAGTGCTTGCAAATGCAAGTCCGACCGCACTGGAAAGGACGGCTGTTCAATACCCGCGTGAAAAGAACAAGGATAGAACGCCAAATAGAATTTGATTGGCCAGAGCCCCGGATGCGTGCGAATTGTAAGCGAGGTCAACTCTGGGCCAGAGTCTCTGGCTGCCACTCTGGCTGCATTTAGACTAAATGATTTAGTGTTAAGCAAACTGCGTTAGAGTGGAGATGCACATTTTAATTTTCTTTTTAAATATTTTATACCCGAATCCTAAAAATAAAATTTTTTGATTTTTTTCCTTGAGAACTAGGGCAACAACAAAAATAGTATTCTTAATAAAAAAGATTTCTCAAATAAAAATAACTAAAAATAAAAATAAAACTCTAAATAAAAATATAGACCAGTGCAGAAGCCTTTAAAAATAGGAAAAAGAGAAAAAAAATAACAGTAGGATGAAACCCATTGGAAAAGGAGGGGAATATAATAAAAATTAAAGGAAAAATAAATTACGGGCGATCTGAGTTCGGGAAGTGGGAGGGGGGGGGTTTTAAGGGTAAAAAATGGTTTATCTCGATTTCCGGCAAAACTACAAGTCCTATGGAAAAAAGTTAAATGTCAAAGTTGTAGGTAATAAAAAGATCTACAACTTTTGTATTTACAATTTTTTCACATAACCTCAAAATTTATGTGAAAAAATCAAAAAAACAAGTTTTTGGTTTTTTATTTTTATCTTTTTCAAAAAAAAATTTTTTTCCATGAAATTTGGTGAAAACTTACCTTTTTATGTCCAAAATACACTGTAATTTATTTGATTTGAAATATTTATTATTTCGCCCTATTTTTACTTAATATCAAAAAAGCACCCTAATTTTCAATCGAAAATTCTCGCGTCAAAATATCAGCTTTTTGCTCGATGAACTCTCTACTTTCTGATGGTGTAAAAAAAATATACATTACTATCGTAAATGTTCTCAGAAAATACAAAAAATATTATAATGAATAACGCAATCAGAATGAAGTATCTAAATTCAATAGTATGATTTACATGTATTTTTATATTTTATGAGATTTTCTGACATAAATGTTATTAGAAATTAATAAATAAACTTTTTAACTAAAAAAAATTGCAACAATCACATTTTTTTGATGAAATTGTACATAATGATTAAAATAAATTTTCGAATTCGAGTTTTTTTCGTTATTCATTATAATATTTTTTGCATTTTCTGAGAACATTTACCATAGTAATGTATATTTACACCATCAGAAAGTAGAGATTTCAACAAACAAAAAGCACACCGACTTTTTGAAAAAAGCTGATATTTTGACGCGAGAATTTTCGATTGAAAATTAGGGTGCTTTTTTGATATTAAGTCAAAATAAGGCGAAATAATAAATATTTCAAATCAAATAAATTACAGTGTATTTGGGACATAAAAAGGTAAGTTTTCACCAAATTTTGGATTTGCAAGCACTGTATGTTAATGTATGTTTCATATACAGTGCTTGCAAATCCAAGTCCGACCACACTGGAAAGGACGGCTGTTCAATACCCGCGTGAAAAGAACAAGGATAGAACGCCAAATAGAATTTGATTGGCCAGCCGGCAGGCTACGACAACGCATACCTATCGCGCACCTCGCAGCGTGCTTGACACGAGGATATCAGAACGAGAACTGCAGTGGTGCCAGCAAGAGGTAGTAATTTTAGTAAAAAAGATTATTTAATTAAAAAATGTAGGTACACGTTGGAACAAAAAGTTCAGATTTTAATCTGGCATTTTGCTGGTAATTCTGAACGAGAAATTCAAAGATTATTTGCGGGAATGTTCGAGGCCAGACCAAACAGAGAAACAATTCGACGAACCGTTAATAATTGCTTGTTCGAACATTTAATTTAATTTTTCAGTTTATTTATTTTTAGAGTTTTATTAGACCAGGGTCGATAATTTTTGAAACCAAAAAAAATAACAGTAGGATGAAACCCATTGGAAAAGGAGAAGAATATAATAAAAATAAAAGGAAAAATAAATTACGGGCGATCTGACTTTGGGAAGTGGGAGGGGGGGGTTTTAAGGGTAAAAAATGGTTTATCTCGATTTCCGGCAAAACTACAAGTCCTATGGAAAAAAGTTAAATGGCAAAGTTGTAGGTAATAAAAGGATCTACAACTTTTGTAATTACAATTTTTTTACATAACCTCAAAATTTATGGGAAAAATTCAAAAAACCAAGTTTTTGGTTTTTTATTTTTATCTTTTTCAAGAAAAAATTTTTTTCCACGAAATTTGGTGAAAACTTACCTTTTTATGTCCCAAATACACTGTAATTTATTTGATTTGAAATATTTATTATTTCGCCTTATTTTGACTTAATTTCAAAAAAGCACCCTAATTTTCAATCGAAAATTCTCGCGTCAAAATATCAGCTTTTTTCAAAAAGTCGGTGTGCTTTTTGTTTGTTGAAATCTCTACTTTCTGATGGTGTACAAAAATATACATTACTATGGTAAATGTTCTCAGAAAATGCAAAAAATATTATAATGAATAACGAAAAAAACTCGAATTCGAAAATTTATTTTAATCATTATGTACAATTTCATCAAAAAAATGTGATTGTTGCAATTTTTTTTAGTTAAAAAGTTTATTTATTAAATTCTAATAACATTTATGTCGGAAAATCTCATAAAATATAAAAATACATGTAAATCATACTATTGAATTTAGATACTTCATTCTGATTACCTACGTTATTCATTATAATATTTTTTGTATTTTCTGATAACATTTACCATAGTAATGTATATTTTTTTTACACTATCAGAAAGTAGAGAGTTCATTGAACAAAAAGCACACCGACTTTTTGAAAAAAGCTGATATTTTGACGCGAGAATTTTCGATTGAAAATTAGGGTGCTTTTTTGAAATTAAGTCAAAATAAGGCGAAATAATAAATATTTCAAATCAAATAAATTACAGTGTATTTGGAACATAAAAAGGTAACTTTTCACCAAATTTCATGGAAAAAATTTTTTTTTTGAAAAAGATAAAAATAAAAAACCAAAAACTTGGTTTTTTGATTTTTTCACATAAATTTTGAGGTTTGTAAAAAAATTGTAATTACAAAAGTTGTAGATCTTTTTATTACCTACAACTTTGACATTTAACTTTTTTCCATAGGACTTGTAGTTTTGCCGGAAATCGAGATAAACCATTTTTTACCCTTAAAACCCCCCCCTCCCACTTCCCAAAGTCAGATCGCCCGTAATTTATTTTTCCTTTTATTTTTATTATATTCTTCTCCTTTTCCAATGGGTTTCATCCTACTGTTATTTTTTTTGGTTTCAAAAATTATCGACCCTGGTCTAATAAAACTCTAAAAATAAATAAACTGAAAAATTAAATTAAATGTTCGAACAAGCAATTATTAACGGTTCGTCGAATTGTTTCTCTGTTTAGTCTGGCCTCGAACATTCCCGCAAATAATCTTTGAATTTCTCGTTCAGAATTACCAGCAAAATGCCAGATTAAAATCTGAACTTTTTGTTCCAACGTGTACCTACATTTTTTAATTAAATAATCTTTTTTACTAAAATTACTACCTCTTGGCAAGAGGCTCTTGCTGGCACCACTGCAGTTCTCGTTCTGATATCCTCGTGTCAAGCACGCTGCGAGGTGCGCGATGGGTATGCGTTGTCGTAGCCTGCCGGCTGGCCAATCAAATTCTATTTGGCGTTCTATCCTTGTTCTTTTCACGCGGGTATTGAACAGCCGTCCTTTCCAGTGTGGTCGGACTTGGATTTGCAAGCACTGTATGTACACTCTAGAAAGAGACAAAGCGATAATCTTGAAACAATCATAGACATTAGACGCGTACACCCAAATTTAATACCTAAGCTGTCCGCAAACTTCAGCGCCCAATTAAAATTATCATGTAACATTTTAATACAACAATCGTTTTAATTGAACAATCATATTTATTCCATTTAAAATTATTATGTAACATTTTATTTCAACAAACATTTTAAATAAACAATCATTTTAATTCATCAATCAAAATAATTCGCTACATTATTATGTTTGAATTAAATTGTTTGTTTATAATTTATATTCTTTCATTTAAATGGTGGCTATTTTTATGTTAGTTGAATTAAAATGATTGTTGAATTAATTTGTTACATGATAAATTTAATTCCTTATTTAAATTTAAAAATTTAAAACAAAAATTTAAAAATAAGGAATAATTTTTTTCATCATTCAATTTAAATGCGCAATGTTTTTAAACAATCAATTAATTGAATAAAAATAAATAAAGAATCATAAAAATGATTTTTATTTAAAAAATTTAAAAAACAAATAATATTAACTAAAACGGCGTTCCATATTTGGGACCCTAATGAATATTTCTATAAAATTTGAGCAAAATTCAAGATGGTCGAGCAACGAGTTTCGGCGTTTTCATATGGATTGACTCTATGTTCAGCTACTTGGATAGTCATTATATCATATAAACGCATATAATAGTATATTACCTATGTATCAAGTTTTATAAACGCCATTTTAGTTACGAGTTTTATTAGGCACGAGCAAAGCTTGCGAGCGAGTGTTTAATAAAAACAAGTGTCTAAAGAAGTTTATAAAACGAGTCACATACTATACTTTATCTACTCCTACATTGACGAGCTGTCACTTTATGGCGTTTTATTGACGGGCTGAAGTTAACAACAGTGGCTTTTCGAGATTTTACGTCACGGGCTGAAGTTAAGCTTTATTTTCATGTATCCGTTTGTCCGTCATCCGTATGTCAGTTTTTCAATAAAATCGTCCGATAAGAAATGTTCTAATTTTCATGCATACGATTTTTAATGACGTTTAACGGATTGATTTTGCGACAAATAGAAATTAAGTGTCAGTATATTCACTTACTAAATTTACCTAATGCTTAATTGTCATAGTTACAATTATTTCAACAATTGTAACTTTAACAGTTAGCTGTCTAATAAATTTAAAGGTAGGTAAATATACCTTATAAAAAGAATATACTAGCCCTAATATACATTAAAATGTATAGTTTTTAAAAAAGCAGGTCCTTTTAGTTCTAGTTTAAATTTTTTTTTGTTTGTCCTTTCTTTTTTTCCGATATTCTTATTAAATAAAATCTTATTAAAAAAATATAAAAATATTTGAAAATAAATTACCTTAAAATAACGTTAGGCGTCAAAAACAGATGTTTAGTGACGGATGAGTTAAAATTATTTAACCTTTCTCTGTCAGACGTACGAAGTTAAAACTTGACGGACCGATAAAATGTCATAATTTTCGAATTATAATTGGACCAATAAGAGCGCTCCCGGATGAACGGACTGAAGCACAAACGGATACATGAAAATTAAGCTTTAGCTTTTTTATAAATTGGGAAAAAGTGAGGTTAAATTCGGGTGACAGTTGACAGATGTCAAAATTTTAACAAATAAAATTTTTTATCAAACACTCGCTCGCAAGCTTCGCTCGTGCTTAATTAAACTCGTAACTAAAATGGCGTTTATAAAACTTGATACATAATATACTATTATCTACGAACGAACCAATTTTATTTGTTAAACATTTGACATCTGTCAAATGTCAACGGATTTAACCTCACTTTTCCCCAATTTATAATAAAGCTAACTTCAGCCCGTGACTAAAATGCCCAAAAGCCACTATTGCTAACTTCAGCCCGTGACTAAAACGCCATAAAGTCACAGCTCGTCAATGTAGGAGTAGATAAAATGTGTTATTTACATAATTAAATGAATTAAAGTGTAAAATTGAGACTCGAAAAATAGATATTTCAGGTGATCGTATTTGTTCTTACCGTAGCATGGTTCGAGGGCGATGGGGCTGGGAGCGTCCCGCTTCTTTCGCTTGGCCTCGGCGGCCACCGCGATCGGCGTGGCCTCCGAGTCTTCTCGAAACTCCTTGACCTCGAGCTCGACGAGCACCTGCGAGAATGGACGGGACGCCATCTGTTCCATTTCGACGAAAAGGCGCTGCCGACGTCGGTACATGTCAAAGCGTTGCTTGATTTTCCACGAGAGGGCGGCCGAGAGCAGCAGCAGCAAGAAACAACTGAAAGCGCAATTAGTAGTAGTATAATTGTTCAAGTGTTGCAGAAAGTAATTACTTATTATTTTAAAAAAATATTATAATTAACAGGTTTAATACTAAATATATAAAAAATAAAAATATAAATCGCAAAATTTACTTTAAGCAAAAATAATGGTACTTACAATAAAATACCTCAAAATTTAAGCAATGGGTTTTACTTAATCATTGTAACAATAAACAAATTTCATTTTTTTATGCTTTTGGGCTCTTAAATAATTTATATTATTTGACACTAATTTTTCTATTAATTTACAAGCTTTTGTGACATAAATTAAATCTATGGAGAGTATCAAAATCAATCTTATCAATGAACCTATAAGTTAACCAAATAATTTTATAAACCCAATCAATTATTGTAGTTGTGTGAAAATATGAATAATAAAGATGGAGGATATGAAAACAAATATGAGAGAATTTAATTAATAATTAATAAAAATGATTCTAAAAGAGCCTTTATAGAAAGACATCAAATTTGTAGGCAGTTCAAAAGTCAAATTATTATTATCAGAAACCAGACTATTTTTTTCGAAAGTTTTTGACATGCTTAATCAAAATTCTGGCTCAAATATAATTGTGATCTAAATTTAAAATATACGTGGATACATTTACGGCAGTTTAGTGTGCAGGTGTATAACAATCAAAACAGTAATTATGACCTGACTGCTACTTATTTGCTAATAATAAAAATAGTAAACAATACGTAGTGAACATATATAAATCAACCTATTTTATTTTGCTCTCTCGTAAAGTTTAAGGCCAAATTTCATAATCAAACTTTATAATAACACTTTAACTAAAAGTTTCACTTCAAGTCCACTTTCAAGAGAGCTAAAGTTGAGTTGTTCCATAATCATACCCATTCGAATTGAATTGATACAATTATTAATGGTGAAATAAGAATTTCATTTTAAAATTTTCTTGCAAAAATGTAGAGAGCTTATTATAAAAATATAAAGTAATAATTTATGAATAAAGACCTTTATTTTTATTATTATTATAAAGTTGCAAACAAATATTTCTAATTAAATTTATATCCAATTAAATGTTTCACATTAAATCAAAAGATTGGAAACAATTTTTAAAATCAATTCTCTAGATAATTTTATATCCACACATCTTAAATTTTAATTTAAGTAAAAAAGATGGGAAAAATGACAACAGCTTCAGAAATTATTTAAAAGTAGGCCCATTTTATAAAAAATTGTTTCATGAGATAAAAATTAAGGAATTTATTATACAATTTTTTTTCCATTTTTGAAAAATTTATTAAAACGAATACTAGTTTATTGTTCCATCTTTTTAGATCAAAGGAGAATATAAAACCATTTTGACATTTGAGTAAGGAATGCAGTCAAATAAAAATAAAACTTGTTTGATCCTATCCTGTTTTTCGCGTCGCGAGAAAAAACACTTCTGATGCAAAGTAAAAATACACTCATGCATTTATCACGAAGCTAGTTGTTCTTTCAGGGTTTTTCAGATATTAAGAAAATCCGGAAACTAGTTAATCGGAATTTATTTTCTTATTTTCATGTAGATAATCTTATATATTAACGAATCCCAGTGTAGGGGGTTAGAATGTATATTATGTTAATACTTACGAGGAAAACGTGATGAAAAACTGCTGCAAATTGAGCTTCGGGTACTGCGAAAACGAAATCTGAATCCACAGGGGCGGTTGAAAGTCGTACACGTAAACGTAGAACGTGGTCAACGTGACGTTGTCCTCAACGCCGAAATTGTAGTCCGATTTGAAGAAGCGCGTCTTGAACAGCGTCGTGCAATTGTGCTCGATGTAGATCGGCTTCTCCTCCTTTGAGTTACCTCTTCTTATTGTTATATTCATCTTCGCGAGCACCGAGCACTGGATCGAAAAGTCTGCGTCGATGTCGGCTTTGTTCGGCGAGTTCCGGAAGTTTATTTGCGTGTAGTGGCGGTCCTCTTTTTTGCTCAGGTTGAATGTGAATTGATAGTCAATTGTCAAGTCGTCTGTCAAAAAAAACCACCCAATTTGATTTTTTTGTTAGATAAAACAATATTTATCTGTATACTAGGATGATTCGTTTTAAAGAAAAATTTATTTTTGTCACTTCCAAAGCCCAAATATTGATATACATATGGAGAAAAAAATGCCCTTAAAGTTTCAGTCCTTAATCTTATGTCTAAGTACTTTTATATTAATTTTAAAGTATTTCCATTAAAACAACAGAAAATTATGGATTTTTTTTTAATTTCCTATAGCTTGGCGACAATTTACGCTACTAGAATTTTGTATATGATTGGGTGCTCTTTTAAAGTACTTGCAACAATTTTACTACAATTCATATATTTAGACCTGTATACTAGGGTGGGCCGAAAAACGTAAAAAAAAAATATTTGAGATATTTATTTTTGGGTAGCAATAAAAAGTTACCTTATGTTAAATAGTATATTAAAGTACAAGTTGCAGAAGGCCACATATTCTCGCACGAATTCGAAATTTGGCCTCGAGCGACGAAGGAGCGAGTGGACGAACGAATGAGTGCGAGAATAGCCTTCTGCAACGTGTGATTTATACTATTTTCTCGATTTTAACTTTTATTTAGGTTTTTTTAAATGTTTTGTGGTCGTTGTTAGTTGGGGGATTTTTCTTGCAAAATGTCAGTTGGCAACACAAAATGACAGTTGCATGGACAGGTAGATTTATTTTTATTTACTATTTATTAATAATCTGTCTGTATTTGTCAACTGGATAATAAGGTTTTGTGTAAGTATTGTATTATTTTTTAATGTTTTCTGATATTTTTGAACAATTGTGTTTACTTTTAGCAGTGAAAAATGTCACAGGAGGTTTTACAAGCAACACTGAACATTACAATAAAAGTTTATAACAATTGTGCTAGTGATTAATTTATAGTAGTTTTGTGTTTTGTGTACTGTGGGTATATAATATTTCCAATAAAATATAGTTTGATTGACCTGCCTGGCTCATTTATTTGTCAATATTTGTTATCCTGCACAAGTAGAACTGAACTGCACTTTTTCACATTAAACTTAAAATTTTGCATTAAAATGCATTGTTGGAGCAAACTTAATATGACAAAACAATAATAAGGGCTTCATTTTCAATAAAAGTGTAGTTCAGGTTGCACTAGTGCAGGATAACAAACAAAGCTATTATAAATAATCCTAAAAGTAATGAATTTGAGGTTATTAAACAGTTTGACATTTTGGGGGTACCAATACTTAAAAACTAAATGTTACCAAAAATCGTTTAAGAATGAGCTTCATTCTTCAACGATTTTGCGTGCGAGAATATGACATTCTTACATAAAAATCGAGAAAGTAATTTATTAGAAAAAAATGTAGCGTACTAGCCCATTATTTAAGGGTCCCCCGGGGGCCCAAAATATTTTTTTTTGTAAGTTTTGACTGGGGTGGGAACAAAAAGTTACCTTATGTTAACAGTAATTCTAGAAAAAAAAATGAGCGTACTAGCCCAATATTTAAGGGTGCCCCAGAGGCCCAAAATATTTATTTTTATCATATTTTAATTGGGGTAACCACAAAAGTTACCTTATATTAACAGTAATTCTAAAAAAAAAAATGAGCGTACTAGCCCAAAATTTAAGGATGCCCCGGAGGCCCAAAATATATTTTTTGTTCATATTTTAATTGGGGTAACCACAAAAAGTAACCTCATGTTAACAGTATGTTTAGAAAAAAATAGCCCTTCTAGCCCAATATTTAAGGGTGCCCTGGGGGGCCTAAATTTTTTTATATATATTTTAATTGAGATGGCAACAAAAAGTTACCCCATGTATTATTGCATAGACAAACCAAATGCCTGTATCAGTCTAAGTTTTTTTTTATTATTTTATTAAGACGCCTTTTCATGAAAAAAATTAGCAACTCTTAGCTTGATTTTATTAAATTTAAAAAAGATTTTGCGTTACTCTAAATTAATTAACACAACCACTATCGAAATAAATAAAGTCTTAAAAGAAGTAAATGCTTGGTCAGTTAATCATAGACTTCAGTTAAATGCCAAAAAGAGTCTTGTAATAAATATTGGTACAGTATATATGATAAATAAAAAACAATATAATTTTAATACCATACATATAAATAATATAGAAATACCTCAGCAAGAAATCTGGGTGTTATTTTTTATACAAACCTGAACTTTAAAAGCCATGTTACAAGACAACTTAGTTTGTGTTATTTGAAGCTGAAATCACTATATTAATTTAAGTAAGTTCTAAATTCTAACACCAAGTGCAAAATTGTTTCAACATTAATATACACCCTATTATAGACTATTGCATGCCAGTCTACTACTCATATCATACTGAAACATTTAAAAATAAACTCATGTATTAGATTCATATATTTAGTCGGAAAATTTGACCCCATTACTTCAATCTATTTGGTAAACAAGCATTTAAAAATAATTGATCCTTACAAGCATAATTTTGGAAAATTAGTGCAGAAAGTAAATACCTAATAATTTCCTGAATACCTTCACCTACAACAACTTTATTAAAGGATCCAATAAACACAATCTTGATTTAAGACACAATCTTTTTCAAATACCTAGTCACAAAACTTCAACTATTATCTAAGGATTCGTTTATAGACCTATCTATAGAACTTTTAAACGATAAAACATTCTTTAACATAATGTTTAAATATCCAAACACATTTAATTTAGAGTACAAAAATTTGTTATTAACTGGTGTGATATGAAATTATAGGATTTAGTTTAATTAATATGTGATATGCAGAATAAAATAGATTTTTTCTTAGTAGGTGGTATGGAAGAACGTCCTTACGAACGCAGCCTTTGATTGGATATTTGCTCCTCGAGTTCCATCCGCTCCCTCCCACCCAGTTTTTTTTATTATTTAAATAATAGACTTGTTGTCATATAGGCCGGTAAAGATGTCCGCGCATCTATATATATATGGTTATAACCATTTTTTGCTACCTCACAGCAAATTTTTAATGCAGCTTCTGTTACAAGCTTCACAAACTTTTTTACCGCTTGCGTGTAAAAGGGAAACTTGCCGAACCTTATATAGAAGTCGTCTGCTCGACTTATAAATATTTTTAGTTCTTTTATTTAAAAAAAACATTTACAAATTTATAAACATTTTTAACCCTAGAATTTGCTAAACCGCCAAAGTTTTTACGTCAAACTCTAATATTGGACATTTTTTTGTAAAAATATTGTTAACATAAGGTAACTTTTTGTGGCTACCCCAATTAATATATAAAAAAAAATATTGGGCCCCCGGGGCACCCTTAAATATTGGGCTAGTACGCTAATTTTTTTTCTACAAGTATTGTCAACATAATGTAACTTTTTGTTGCCACCCCAAACAAAATATAAAAAAATAATATTTTGGGCCCCCAGGGGGACCCTTAAATATTGGGCTAGTATGCTAATTTTTTTTTTACAAACTACCTTTGGCATAACGAAACTTTTTTTTGCTACCCCTAAATTGAATTCAAAAAATAATTTTTTCGGCCCACCCTACTGTATACGTCAAACCTCATATTTTTAATAAAAAACAGTATTTTTGAATTTTATGGAAACCGGTTAAAGTAACAGGTAACAAGTTTTTTTATATGAAATTCAATTTCCTATGAAGAAGGTCCTTTGCAACAATGCAATAAAATGTATAGTTTAAAATATATACATTTAATAAATTTTAGTGTAAAATAGTGTAACGGTTAAAGTTACAGGTAATGGTGGATTTATGCAGCACAAATTAACATTAAGTTAAGATTAACATTAAAAAGTTAAAATGAATGTAATACACTGGAAGCATTTATGCAACACATTAACATTAAGCCCATTATACCCTCCTATTGGTTAAATTAATCAATGTTAATTTTAATGATAATTTGTGCTGCATTAATCCACCATTAAGAGTAAAAAAACTTTTATAGAAAATTCAATTTCTTACAAAAAAGCACAAAGCACAAATTAACATTAAGTTAAGATTAACATTAAAAAGTTAAAATGAATGTAATACACTGGAAGCATTTATGCAAAACATTAACATTAAGCCCATTATACCCTCCTATTGGTTAAATTAATCAATGTTAATGTTAATTTTAATGTTAATTTGTGCTGCATAAATCCACCATTAGGAGTAAAAAAACTTTTATAGAAAATTCAATTTCTTACAAAAAAGGTCCTATGCATTAATGCAAAAAAATGCATAGCTTAAAATATATAGAGCATTTAATAAATAGTACTGTCAAATATTGATAAATTAATTAGTTCCATGATGTGTTACGGCAAAAGTTACAGATAAAAAGTAAACAACTTTTATAAAAAATTCAACTTCTTACAAAAAATACATACGGATTATTGCCATAAAATAAGTAGTTTAAAAAATATAAAGCATTTATATAAAAATAAATAATAAATTTTAGTGTCAAATATTGATAATTAATTAGTCCTATGTTGTTTTATGGCAAAACCACAGATTATAAAGGTAAAACAGTTAAAGGTACAGGTAAAAAGTAAAAAATACTTGTATAGGAATTTTAATTTCCTACAAAAATAGTTGTATTCATTAATGCAATAAAATGTAGTTTAGAAAATATATAGAATTTAATAAATTTTACTATTAATAACTATTAATAAAGTTATTAGTTTTATCAAAACTTGACATTTAAATTTATTAAATGCATTTAAACTATGCATTTTATGAGATTAATGCATATAATCTTTTTTATGGGAAATTTAAGTTTTTATGAAAATCTTTTAAACTGTGTACCTGTCACTTTAACTGTGCTCTTTTTTTATAAAAATATGAATTTGGTGAAATATTTACTGTATATATACAATACTGGTCGGAAATATAGGTCGTATAAAAATTGTAGCAAGTACTTTTAAAGATCATATATGTATTCATGTACAAATCGCACCTATGGAAACACGTGTTTACAGCCAAAATGTACATTCGATTTCACTATTTTTTTCTGATGTGATTTGGCCTACCAAACTCGAAAGTTACAATAAAAAAAAATTTCATGGCAGGGTTTTACTATTTGCTTCATATCTCAAGTTTAAAATGGCCAATTTTATTGCAGAATATGTCAAATTAAACCTAGTTGACATGCCAACAAATGTAACTCTATAAATGCCCAATTAGTCAATAAGTTTAAGTGAATATCGGAAAAAGTAAATTTTTTTTTACAAAACTTGAATATAGTATTAACTATTTTACCAAGAAGAAGCAAAAATCATTAAAATATGCCTATTTTTAAACTATCTACAAGGAGTTTGCACTTTTATGATAAAAATAAGGTATTAAAAAAATCCATAAATCCTGTGACCTGGAGTTCCTTAAGAATTTGTACATATCTCAAAAATAAACAGACCGTTGTATAGGAATTTTAAAGAGCTTTAAAATAATGTATTACTTAATACTCCTTCCCTATTCATATTCTTAAGGGGTTAGCTTCTGGGGGCAGGGAGTAAGGGTGGAAAACCAAATTTTGCAATGAAAAGTTGTCCCCTTTAATATAAAACTTTACGTGTCTAGGCGTTTTTTCAAAATTCTTTCAGTTTTCGAGAAATTTAAGGTGGTTAGTTTTAAATGGAAAAAACTGTATTTTAATATTAAAATGTAAAACAAAATTGATTTAACTGTAAAAAGGTTCTATAATGCACATAGAACCTTTTTTGTAAAAAACTAAATTTCGAAAAAAAATGGAAATGTCCACTTCTTGCATTGACCCCTTTAATTATCAATAACTTATTTCGAAAATATCTTGTTTTCTTCAAAATAGTTTGAACTTCACGATAATAATTTGAAAATTGACATAGATACTACGTAATTTTTATTCATCATTGGCAAAGAAAATAATGTTGCATTCTCATTATTGTCCAAAAAACAGACTTTTTTTCAAACCTTGCCATACATTTTTTTATGATTTTCAAGTTATACAGGTCCAAAATACATTAGAAAAAAATAGTGGCATCAAATGTAATTTAATTTGTATACCAGTCAAATTGTAGTAGCGTAAAATACCGCCAAGCTATAAAATTGAAAAAAATATCCTTAATTTCCTGTCATTTCAATGAACAAACTCAAAATAAAAGTACTTAGGAGTAAGAAACATTAAGGGCATTTTTTCTTGATATGAAGATGAATATTTTGCTTGGGGAGTGACAAAAAAATAAATGTTCCTTCACCCTAATGTATACATTTGTAAAAAGGTTAGGTATTACTTGAGGAAGTTCATTCCAAAACTGGGCTTATCCATATTAGGTGATTTTGAGCAAATTGTCAAAAACCTTACACGTAGGGATGGGAAAATTTCACTTTTTGCTTGTACCTACTTGAAATTTCACTTGAAATTTTCATGACATATATGATATTTATTAAAATTTCCTAAATTTTTGAAATTTCATGAAATTTATTGAAACTTTCAATAAATTTCAATCACTTTAAGTGTAATATATTAATATTGAAATAAGCCCACTCGGTGACCATGGCAAATTGCCTCTCTTACCTCCTACCCCTCTCTGGGTCCCTGCACCAATAATATAAATAGTAAATACCTATGTTTACCACAAATTTCTTGAGATATCCTTATAAAATATTTTTAAAATTACTAAAACTAAAAGAGATATAGCACTTTTTGGTAAGCTAATGAGATTGTGCCACTTTCATTGTTTTATATTTATATATATTTATTATTTTTAAATATTTTACTAAAATTTTACGAAAATTGAAGAAAAGGCATTTTTTATCCGTTGTCTGATGCAATTATAGCAAAAGTAAAAGTTTAAATTAATCATGACTTTTAAAAAAGTTTTAAAGTCTGATTTAATTTACAAATTAAATTGGTAACTGAATTAAATTATTTAAATTAATTTATGCATATACATAAGTAACAATAATTACTTATAGTGTATTCAAATCCAAGCCGAACTAAACAAAAACGCCCAGACGCTTGATAACTCGTTCTTATTGGTCGATTCGGAATCTGTTGTAAATTATTATTAAAGGTCCCAGGGGAGGCCGCATGTGAAATTTATGCGAAATTTTCAGTAAATTGCGAAACTTTCAATGAAATTTCTAAAAGTTTCACAAATTTCACTTTTCCAGATAAATGAAATATTTCAAGTTTGAAACTTTCAAAGTTGAAATTTTCATTTGAAAATTTCAACTGTCCCAACCCTACTTACACGTGAGTACCATAGCATATCAGGCCAACAGAATACTTTAAACGAAATATATTGGCTTAAGTATAAATTGTATACACCTTGAGTAAAAAGGTATAGCTCCAATTTGAAATAATTTAAAATTACATATGTATAAGCCAGTTCTGACATGATATAACCTATAGATAAGGCAAGTTTTGGAATGGTCAATTTGTAAATGAATTTTGAATGGAATAAGGTGCGTTTTAGAATATTATGACTTTTTCAGGGTATAGGGGGCTACATGTTAAATGTACAGACACCACTAACTCATTTTTATTAAAAAGTGGATAAGCCGAGTTTTGGAATGGACCTCCTCACTTACAGTAGCAAGATTTGTTGATGGGATCGGAGTTGTAATGGTTCGCGCTGTCGCATTTCTCGCAATGATCGCCCACCAAGCCCTTGGTGGTGCAATAACACTTGCCGCTCTCCGGGTCGCACTGCGTCGCCTGGCTGTTGCAGTCGCACGGCTGACAGCTGCCGCCGTTCACAGGGTTGCCCCAGTAGCCCTTTAAAATAAACAAACATTTAATATTCCAAATCACTACTAATTTTCCATTTCTATTGAACAAATACATTTTCGTCAACAATTTGTTTTTAAGAAGTTTTTAAATTTGTAATTATGTTGGACACTCTTTATTGTGTTTTCACATTATATAACATATATGTAACATTATAAATTAAATGGTGCTATGCAACAGGGAACCAACCCATAAAATTAAAAAATAATAATAGATAATTGTATTTATGTAATTGGTGCATGTAGGGTAGGGATGTCATACATCCTAGAACATGTCAGCAGTTTAAAGGGCTATGTCCTGGTAGGGTGGGTCGATTTTTATAATTTTTTTAAATATATAAAAAGCAGCTCTTTGCTTATTTTGTATAAAAATATACAAAATAACCCAGAAATCACTGCGGGGAGGTGGCTGCCATCGAGTTCCATCCCTGCCCACCCAATTACCCTTCCAAAGGGTCAGTTTTTTAATTTTCCACTTTGTAATCTGACTTTGTATTAAACTTTGGTATAATCTTTCTTGAAGCTATAGTTGCAAATAGTTGCTATTGGGATTTTCCAGCGGTAGCTCTATTGGTTTGAATTGATCTCAATAGTGGTATCTGAACGATGAATCACCAATTCAAACCAATAGCGACACCGCTGGAAAATCCCAATACAGACCGATAGAGACTAATCGAATTTCCCAATAGAGAATGATAGAGGTTAATTAAATGTTAATGGTAATTCCCAAAAGAAGAGCTATTTGATTTTTCCAGAGGGACCGCTATTGGTTTGAATTGGTCCCCACTATCCATTTTAGACGTCTTTAAGGTAAAAAATTACGTGTTTTGATGGTTAAATAATTTCTCAAAAATAGTGCTGTTTAACATTTAATTTAAATTTTATAAATAGCTTTTGCTAAAAGTAAGTAGTGGGGCCCACTGCTTACTTTTCGCAGAGTGGGCCACAGGACGACCTGTGCCCCTTTAAAAATTCCAAAACGCCAAGCGTTTCCATGGCCAGTAATTTTGCCTTAGTAAGGAATCCTTACTTAGCAGCTCAAGGCATTCCACCTTTATAGGCCTATGTATTGTGCTACAGAGGCGAGAGGTATGCATGGGTTGCCTACCTATTGGCGAATTTTGAAAATAAATATTAAAGTGGTATATACCAATAGGGTTCCTTGTACCTACACACCAATTCAGACCATTAGTTTATCTATTGGTATTTTCCAGTAAGAAAATTGCCAATAGAAACAAGTGGTCATTTGTATTAAATTGCGCATGCGCTGAACATTTAAGTGGTATTTACCAATTGAATTTCAATTGGGAATTTCCTGTACTTGTAACTTCTTATAAAAACCAATTCAGACCATTAGGTAATCTATTGGCATTTTCCAGTATGGAAATTACCAATAGAAACCAATGCTCATTCTGTTGAGAAACCAATAGGCCCAATAAAGACCAATTCATTCCATTCTGATTTTTTATTGGTTTCTATTGGTCTCTATGGGTGATTTTTAACAGGGGTATTTCCATCCAGATAACGAGTCAGATGCCGCAATGGCAATTCATTTGCATTTAGCTGACATATTAGCCATTGTAACGGTCGTTTAAGATGATTTTCCAGCAATGTATTACACCATCATGAGATCCGGTATTCACGACTGTACCATCGCAGCCAAGAGCAATTAGTTCTGTAGTTGACAATCCAGCTTCTGTTAAAAAATTTAAAATGGTTAAAGCTATTGTTTTAGCCGTACCATCTTCAGGTGTCACGTGTCCTATATAGTCGCTACCTGGTTCCCTTAACAACACTATATGTTCTTCTATAATAGTTTTCCTAGATGATGTATTGCCTTGTTTTTCGATGTGAAGGGTCCGATCTTTGCGACCATCAAAATAGAGTGCTTGAAGAGCGACACCATCTTTTATTATGCTTTGTTGTAAGTCAAGTCTTTGCTTTTTTCTTTGTCGATCTAGTTTACACTTGTCTATTACATACGATTTGTCGCTTTTTTTTTATCAATCCAACATCTTCAAGAACTGCTCTAGCTATCATTGCTCCTTTTCTACTTAATAATCCAGCTCGGTCTATCGCTTTTGCTAATGCAGGAAGTTTAATTGTTATTTCTGCCGTAGAAGTTGACGGCTTTGGTTTAAAGTCTAGGTCGGAGTCGAGTTCGCTTTGTATGTCCGATAGATCGTTAAGTTCAACTTTTTTTTCTGGAATATTATACTGGGGGTTTACATTTTTTCTTTTTTGCCTTTGCTTTAAAATCCTTGTTGTTTTGGCATCCATATTTCACATAAACATCAACCTTGTAGTTCTTTGGTCCTTAAGAAATTCATGTTCAATTTTTGGAACTTTTTCCGAGTTCTTACAAGTACACAATGAAAGATTTGCACTTTGAAATGTCAAAAAGCTTGGTATTAGCTTCATCCTGAAACGTTTGTATCTTATTTTTAGCAGCATCGCTGGTTTTTCAAAGACTTTTTAATATTCATAAATTGTTGGTGATATTTTTTTAATAATGCAATACATTGTTGATATGATATAATTGGTAAAATTGCCTTGCTCCAAATTTGCTGAAATTTTTTTAAAACAATTTTTGATATTTCGGTCACTGTTTTACTTTTATTTTCTTCAATGCCAAGGTCGTTTTGGACATAGAAAATATCGCATAACATCACCATAACACGGAAGCACTGTTTCACATAAAACAGTAGGTTCACCAAACACAGGATCACGAAGTGTCTGCCGCATTAACACTTTATGTTTGTTAGCCGCCGCCATTGTCTTTTACACGAAAAATTTACGTTATAGGTACTAGTTATTAAACACTGTCAAAGCACAACTACTGCACATAACGGGAGTCACCAGTACACTAAATAAAGTAATTGAAATGCACGTGGCCGGCCTCTTGCTCCAGCTCGGCCGATAATATAGTTTAGCATAGGGTCCGCGGGGTGTTTACAATTTTACCTGGCGGGGGGTTTAAACGTTGCTTAAATGAGATACGAATTATTGTGGATTTATTCTAAGCTATTTTTAAGATTTTAACGCATCAGACTCTTTTGACTTAAATAAATTTTTTAAGGGGTCGGGCAAGGGGTGTAGGGGGAAATATTAAAATTTAAAAAAAATACCCTATCAAACCATTTTACAACTTTTTTTACTACAGGCACAGAAAAATTTAAAAATCGACCCACCCTTGTCCTGGTGCCCCGGTTTGGGCTTTAAATGCCCCAGTCTACCCAACTTCATATATTTTATTCCCCATCAGCATGTGGCAAAATGTGCCACCCAGTAAAAAAAATGTTCTTGATGAACAAAAGCCACCCAAATTTGGGTGTTGGTGGACTTCTTTTCTCATCCTCTTTTGGAATTGTATTTTTTATTTTTGCAGTCAATTATTTTTGTTTGAAAAACAAATTTTGACCTACTTTGCTCTTACAGAGTGCTTTCAGTTCCTGAAAAATCTATCCAGATGGAAAAGGGGTTCGACAAAATAAAAAGTAAGATATTTGACGACGAAATTGTAAATTGTAAAACAGTATTGAAATATTTACGACAGTGGGTGAATTTAAATAAGAGATCAGAATGACCTATACCCATCAATGTTAGTTGTTTTAAAAAATTATTGTATTCCTTTAGCGCTAAACTAGAAAATAATCCGGTCTAAAAAGAAAAATTTAGTTTTGATGTGCCAATATAAGTGTTGGAAGAATTTTCTTTTTTTTGGTTTCACAGTGGAACAAAGAGCGAAATAAGGTTAAATTTTAAAAGAATGAAACGTCGGTTAAAAACGGTTATTTCGACGGTTTTGTCAACCAGTCAAAAAACGTTTTTTAACGGTTAAAACAGTCTTTCAAAACCGGTTAAAAATACCATGACCCGTTAACCGCCTTATAATTTTATTTCTGACAGTACTAGCAAATAAACTTTCTAAATCTCAACAAAGCTCCAAGGCAACAAAGAACCAACCGAAATTACCGATTTCTAATCTAAAATTAACTAATTGATTATTATATGAAACAAAGCTACTGAGTCAAGCCACGTCAAGTGGGACCAGAAAATTTCACGAAATCACCGATTTTGAAAATAATAACATAATTGTGTAGTAGGCATGACACATATGTCACAGTAAAAAATTTGTTTCGAAATTCGCTTTTTTAGTAATGTTATTAAAGTTAATAATTTTGTCAAACTTTAGAGCATGGTAAATTTGAAAAAAATATAATCTCTCAAAAATTGTTTTGAAATTAAGTTTTTTGTTAATGTTATTTAAGTTAATAATTTTGTCAAACTTAGAGCACGGTAAAATTAAAAAGATAGAATCTCTTGGACCACTCTGTATAATTGAATTAAATTTTACACACTATTGTAGCAATGTTTAGACTATAGAATTGTAATTTAATTAAGGTAAATTTGTTTAAATACAGGAATTTTGCATACATTTATTATAAACAATTGAATTTTTTTATGTGTTCTTCACGCTGAAAAAAAATTAATCTTGTGTCATAATATGCGGCAAACATTCCCGTTTAATAAAATGTACTCAAAAATTTGTCCTTTATATCTTATTCCGGAGATATTAAATTTTTTGTCCCGCTGTGCGTTCGATCAGTACGCGGCGCGCTTCGCTGCTAGCTCGTCGGTTCTAACGTTCTAACGAAAAGCTGTGCTAACGGGCTAGCAACGAAGCGCGCTGCGTACTGCTCAAGCGCACACCGGGAGAAAAAAATTAATATCTCCGGAATGACCTATGAAGGACAAATTTTTGAGTACATTTTATTAAACGGGAACGTTTTTCGCATATTATGACACAAGATTAATTTTTTTTCAGCATGAAGAACACATAAAAAATTTCAATTGTTTATATTAAATGTATGCAAAATTCTTTTATTTAAATAAATTTACTTTAATTAAATGATCATTCAATAGTCTAAACATTACTACAATAGAGTGTAAAATTAAATTCAATTATACAGAGTGGTCCCAGAGATTATATTTTTTTCAAATTTACCATGCTCTAAAGTTTGACAAAATTATTAACTTTAATAACATTACTAAAAAAGCGAATTTCGAAACAAATTTTTTACTGTGACATATGCGTCATGCCTACTACACAATAATGTGATTATTTTTAAAATCGGTGATTTCGTGAAATTTTCTGGTCCCACTTGACGTGGCTTGACTCTACTATTATTTTAGCTGTCAGTTGATTAAAATTATAGTTATTATTCTAATTTACTTTACAAAAATAAATAAGTTTCTCGTATTGGTGTACAAATCTACTAAATAATAAAGTTGTACGGTATTTGTTACCTTGATGCAGCGCTCGCAATTTGGGCCGGACGTGAGGTCGGTGCAGTTTCGGCACATGCTCGTGTTCTCCGTGCAGCCGGAGTGACCGTTGCACTGACATTGCGGGCAGTTCGTGAAATGCCAGCGGTCCTGCGGACAGATACTCGACGGGAGAGATTGTGTGTGCAGTGTAGGCCCTGAAAGATGCAAACAAACATTAAAGTTAAGGAGTTCTATGGGTTTCGAAAATAAAATAAAAACTTTTTTATAATAGTGAAACATGTCAAGAATATTTTACAAAAGTTTTAAGCCTTTGAAAACTCCTTTCATTAGGCTAGTTTTATTAAGGGGGGGGTAAGGTCAAATCATACGAAAAAAGCCATGTTTTCGTGATTTTTTTTCTGACGACGCAGTTAAAATTTCTTTACTCAACCAATGGTACATTGAAGTATGACATTCGAAGAATGTTTCAACAAATTTGTACAAATATTAAAAAATACGGCAATGGCAGCAATTGTTCGGACGTGTCTCGAAAAATAGTTGAATTGCGGTGCCCCTCATAACTTGGTGCTGGATCATCTGAAATCAAAAAATCAAAGTTCATTCGTTAGATAATAGTTTTCCCCAGGTAACGCTGTCGAGTTTTTTTTTCAATTTTTTTCATTTTTTCGAACACTTTGAAGTGAAAAACACATTTTTGTGGGCTAATTTTTTATTGCGAAATCAAAATTATGAACAAAAAAAAAACTCGACAGCGTTACCTGGGGAAAACTATTATCTAACGAATGAACTTTGATTTTTTGATTTCAGATGATCCAGCACCTTAATATCCAAAATTTTAATCATTTTTTACACTTCCTTTTTGGAGTCGGTAGGCACGATTTCTAAAAAACTAATGGAAATTAATTTAATTAATTAGATTATAAAATGAAAATTTGATCAGTTATATTTTTAATTGTGTTTTACATTTTACAATAGTGTTGTTTCGTGTTAACCCTAAATCTAGGGTGTTAACATGTTATGGTTTTCATTATGATAGAATTAAGTATTGTTAAGCAATTTGACAATTGGATAGTTTAGTTTTGATGACCAAAAAAAAATTGGGATCGCGAGTCCAGAGGTTGTCAGGCAAAAACGTCTGTCGAAAAGAAGAAAAGATAAATTGGAAGAACTAAATATTTAGAAAAAGGTTCAAATTGATTTGGTAAGTCTGACAATCCCACGTTTTTATTTTCAATAAATAAAAAAAACAAGTAATATACTGCGTGCAAGTATTCAAAGAAATCAGCATACAAAATTATTATACAGTCCACTTTAAGTGTATTAAGTTACTTAAAGCACTAGTTCATTAAATTGGGAATAAGTGAGGTTAAACCCGTCTGACAGATGTCAGATTGGTAAAAAGTGAGGTTAAAACTACATGACAGTTGTCTGATAAAACATTTCTTTGCGTTCGTCGTAAACAAGGCATGGTATGCAATCATATACAGTGTGTATTAAAACGAATAGATACACTTAAATAAAACAAGTGCCAAACCCCGCTCACTGTGGTAGGGTATTGTTTAACTGCTGCTGGTGGTCTATTTGAACATTTAATTTAGAAAAAAAGTTATTTTCGTTATTTTAGAATTATTTTTGTTTGAGAATTTATAGGTTTTATTTTTATCGAATTCGTTTGTTTTGTTTTAATGCATTTCTGCAAATAAAAACTAAGTATTATTTAAAATCCATTAAATTCCAGTTAATGTCGAAAATGTATATCTTAAAAACTATACACATTTCCCTACGACAGCGTCGGAGCTACTGAACAAACACAGCTGCATGCCCTTGTATCTGGCTGCATGCCGCGCTGTTGCCATATGCTATTATTGTTTCCTAAAAGGGTTATTTTTCTTATTTTTTAATATTAAAAGTAAGAAAATTAACTAAATCAAATTATTTTTGACATATTATTAATTTTTTTGTTATTTTTAAAGTTTCAAACAAATAAAATTGAACTATTTATTAAATAATTATAATCGTTCTCTTCTGATTTAAAACAACCTGGCAACTATGGTTCGTAATTACGAATGGCTTGGTTTAAACCACGCCCAATTAAAGTTTGTTTCTTTTTCTCTGATCAGAATATAATTTGTCATCCTTGTCTCCAGCCTTACTTACTTGATTCTATACAGTCAGTATATTTTTTTAATATAATTTCATTTTAACTGTCCTGTACACTTGCTTCCAAATAATAAGTAAACTTATAAACTAGATATTTTAATAACATTTTGTCCATGATAGTATAATAAATAAACGAAAATAATTAAGACTCCTAATCAGCACCCTGTGCTGGTGACGGAGACTAGCGATTTTCTTTATATTTCGTACACGGTGGTCAAAACTAAAGTATAGGACGAACAAAAATGCCAACCAAAACTGATAGCATAATCTGATTATAGACTCTTTTGGTAACACAAAAATGTATTTATCAAAATCCCAGCTGATTCTTTATTAAAGTTTTGCATATTTCTTAGTATTTTAAAATTGTTTATCTACGCCAGTGAGATAAGAACTTCTTATCCCACTCATTTTGAGTGAGATAAGAAGTTCATTAACGCACGCGTTTTTGTCTGCTTTTAACCAATCAAATAAAAAAGTCAAAATGTCAAAATAACCCTAAATTAAGTCTTAGACAAAAATAATTACCGTTTATTTTTTCATTTAGAGGCGTAGATAAAAATTTGTACAATATACGTGTGATAACGCTTTATTAACGTACTTTTGCGATTGCCCAACTCGTGCTACGCACTCGTTGGGCAAATTTCGCATGCGTACGTTAATAAAGCTCTTATCCCACTTATATCGTAAATAACTATTATGCCATTCCGATAAAATACTCTAGTACCATTATCAAATGTTTTTAAAAATTTGGCATGAAATATGGATAAATTACATTATAAATACAAAATAATGTAAAATACAGTTTGCAATATCTTATTTATTGTTTTAAGGTACCTACCTAATACAAAACTAATAAATAACTAAAGATTCTTTGAAGCAAAATCGATTACTGCTTCCCTTAAATTTTCAGTAAAACTTTTTCTTGGGTTTTACATGGAATTGTTTTTAACATGGAAACAGTATTTTTAAATTCTTCAGTCTCTGTACAAACATGCTTCTTACATCTAGCGATATCCCCTAGAAAGGAAGAGCATATCAAAACTTTAGTTCGTTCGTCCGTCCTCTTCCCTTAATAATTTTTTATGCCCTTTATATCTTGCCATTTTGCAGATAAAGCACATACATTCTTGGCTGCCGCGAAATTCTCTAGCAATTTCTAAATTTTGAAAATTTGGAAATTGTGGCTATGCAAACATACCTTTTCTACCATATTGAAGTAGGTAATTTTGAATCACTTAAGTAAGTGTTCGTTTGAAAAAGTCTGCAGTAATTTTTATATTTTCTCAGAAACCCTTAACTCTGAATTTTTTGATTATCAAAAACAATTTTGTCTCCACAGCCAGCACATACCATCTTTCGATTTTCTTCATGGCTTAACTTGAATTTTGGTTTAATTTTCATTTTAAAATACTATTTTGAACTTCATAAAGTATACATTAAATAAACAACTAAAGCAAAATGTCACTTGCGTTATAACGTATAGCAATTTTTTTCATAACCACCTTAATTAGTTTTACAAAATTTGCAAGTTGTAATTATTTCATAGACAAACTTCCAGTATTTTTTGTTATAAAAAATATTTAAGATATAAATCTTCGTTTTTTTTGTTATGTTTTGTTTTGAGTGGTAAAAAATAATAGGTGACTCAATAAATTAATACTTGGGAGTAAAATAATTTAAATGATACAAAGTTTATTATTTTGCTTAATTTTATTAAAATTGTACAGGTAGTTTTAGTACAATAATTGCAAAATAATATATAGAAATAGAAAAACAAAAAAGTTTGCAAAACTTTAAAATAGGATCAGCTGGGATTTTGATAAATACATGTTAGTGTTACCAAAAGGGTCTATAATCAAAATATGCTATCAGTTTTGGTTGGCATTTTTGTTCGTCCTATACTTAAGTTTTGACCACTGTGCGTAGTCATTTAAGAAATTCTTTTTAAATAAATTAATATTTTTTCTAAATATTTTTGATTAATTGGGGTAACATGTTATAAATTTCCAAACTACGATTTATTGGATTATTCAAACCTATATTAGAATGTGTATTTGATAAGTAAATTTTGCTTTGATTTCTAGTATTATGATCATGAATCTCTTTGCATAATATAAATTTATGATTAAGTTTTTTATTTTTATTGATTGTTTTATGTACTAATTTACATTGTTCAATTTTTTTTACTGTTTTTAGTGGCTTAATAGTTATTTTTTTGTATATTTCTTCTGTTGCTGTTAGATATGGAATATTAAATACTACTTTTATGATTTTATTTTGTAGTCTTTGCATTTTGTTAAACAGTATTGTTGAGCAAGTACCCCAGTCTCTAAACTTATAAATTGCACCCACCATGGGAATTATTTTATCTTTTAAATACTCAATATGTTTACTCCAATTTAGATTTTCGTCTATTACACAGGCCGACAAAAATAAAATTTCTGTTTGGTGCATGGCAACCAACAACTTTTTAAGGGTAATTTAGGTACGCTGAATCCAAAAATGAACATCATTTTGCTCCATCAGCTATTGTTTTTGCGATGAAGAATAAAAACCATTTTTTTCGATATGCGCACATTCAAATTCTTATATATATTTTTTTAAACTTTTAATTTAAGCAAGGATAGTTGGGAATGTTGCTATGGGTCTTTATTAAACTAAAAAAAAACCATATACATTGATAATGGTATTCGCTTTAGAACTCTTGCTTTCATCGAAAGAAAATCGATTTTGTAGCCAAAATTCGGATATTTTTAAAATTCAAAGTATCGATTTTCTTTCGATGAAAGCAAGATTTTTAAAGAGAATACAATTATCAATGTATATGGTATTTTTTTACAGTTTAATAAAGACCCATAACAACATTACCAACTATCCTTGCTTAAATTAGAAGTTAAAAAAAATATATTTGAGCATTTGAATGTGCGCATATAAAAAAATGGTTTTTTGTCTACATCGCAAAAACAAAAGCTGATTGAGCAAAATGATGGTCATTTTTGGATTCGGCGTACTCAAAATTTGAGTAATTAGTAAT